GAATCGTCGGTGTTGCTGTTTATTCTGACGCAGTTTCGTTCAAAAATTGAAGGTAAATCGTTTCGAGATCGCTTTGGAAATTAAAATTTAATTGCCTCCTTCGGAGAACCAATAATGGTTATATATATACAGTACAGCAACGCTGGCATTTATGTTTCCATAGTCTTGTTAACAAACAAAAATTTCACTCGATTTGCTTTAAAAGATTATACCGCGTTCCCTCGGATTGATTTCTCCGCGGCGCTTCGACATTAGAAAAGTGCAGACGATGCATTTTTTGAACAGCTCGCAATTTTGTTCCGGATTCAAATCACCAAGGATTTGCAGATTGAAGCCTCCTCTTTACAACGACACCATAAAATTTGATATACGACTTTTTGCGACCGTTTTATCGCACTTTGAATGGAAAGTGTGCATCTCCGCTTTTCCCGCCGTTTCCTAATGCAAAAGGAGCTTTTAAAAAAATGAGCAGCCCGGGGATGTGAAAGTCGGCGCTTTGGTCTTTCAAAGGGGCTCAATTTTATTGTTCTACGAATTTTTGTCACGAAGCTACACAACAGTTTGAATATGTACTATATTACTGTTATATATTCCACGATTATTGGAATAATTGTTTACGTCGTTTATTTTTCTTATCCTTCTTCGATCTTTGTTTGCAACATCGTTCGCGAGAAGATAGATGAATATAATATAATATAACAATATAATATAATACAATAAAATTATATATACATAAATAATATATAAATATGTAAATATAATATAATATACAATAATATTTATACATTATAATATATAATGTACAATATAATATAATAAATTAAATAAATATAATACAATAATATTATATATATATATATATATATACATAAATAATATACAAATATATAAATACATGTAAGTATAAAATAAATAAAATAAATATAGTATAAAAATTATAGTAAAGAACACAAGACCAATGAAATGGTTTCCTTCCAGTTCAGGCAAACTATTGGCACGCGTTCGAAGATCTTACACGTTATGTCCCGGGGAAATATTGTCTTGTATTTCTTCGAACAAAGGAAGGATGTGCCGACAGTCATAGCACTTGATTTTGTGCCAGTTCGGAAGCTGATTTAGTGAGTACATTTTCACGATACATTGAAAATCCTAATAAATAAGAGCCGGAGAAAGGAGAGCGGAACAATCGCGTCCGATTACTATACAAATTACGCGACTATTACAGAAAAGCATTTGCATAATGCACAAATGTTTCTCGCTGGTCGTGTTTCGACTGCGTTTATAGTAAATATGCATTTATAGTAATATAGCATCATGCATTTATAGTAATACAGTATTATGCATTTAGAGTAAATATGTATCAATGGAAGTATACAATATAAATAGCAATAGCATAATTGTTGCCATTATTTCGAATTTCTTATAAAACAGTGAAAAGAAGAAATAAGCTTTTGGCGAACTCCTGTCTCTTGCAATTATCGCAGAAAATTATAATTTTTCAAGAAGGTCTACCGTCTGTTATCTTCGAAGCATATGCAACAAAGAGATACCGGATGTATGGAGAACAAAAAGTATTCCTATTTTACATAGTTAAAAGATATCACAAAAAAGAAAGGAAAAGGAAAATTACTTCATACTTTTTTCACGGTCCTACAGGTTCTGGTGAAAGCAGAATTTTCAACCGAAATTCCCGTGTTAGAATAGTAGACCCAGGAGAAATTTCATCCAACAGATTGGCTTTTTAAGCTGACAATGAGAAATTGATTAAAATTTACTTTCTACCAGTGTCCGCACAAACGAACGTTTTAAGATACTCCGAAATTCGTTCAATTTCCTTGGTAGTTGTAATTGAAAATTGTACAACTTCGCTCTCGAAATAGAGGTGCAATTAGGAGAATGTTGAATGCGTCGATTCTGATTCCGATCAGCGAATCGGAATTGCAGTATTGATGCATTTTTTGGGATCACTGTGCAATGGGAGAAGCTTCGGTGCAAATGCAGCTAATATAGACACTAAACGGAGCTGGTAATATCAGAATTTGCTAATGTTCGATGAATCCAAGCCAACAGTGTGCTTGCGGGAATGAGAATACATTTCCTATATTTGTTCGAATAATATCTCTCACAATATGGAATCGATAATTAAACAGATGCTTGCGCGTGTAACAGGAAATTCTAACATTTTATTAATTTTACAAATTTTCTCCTTCGAAAGTGTTCTTGTAGAGAAATAGCATTATAGGATAAATATTTTTGTCTGCCACAGTAATTTTGGCAACTTTAAATATTATTCTAAGAAATATTATTCATCGTTATCATTTGCACAGAAAATTAATATTGGTAACACTATATGGTATATAGTGTTATCCAGTGAAACGTTATTCATTGTTATTATTCGCCCAGAAAATTAATGTCTTTACAGAGCATGCTTTCACACGTTGCACGTCCACTTAACGCCACGATGCAAAATGGAAAAAGGATGTTTCGATCGACTGCACATATTCGGGTTCTTCGATCGAACTTTAATAACCGAACCACTCGAACTACGCTCGTGCGTTATACTTTATAGCAGAAATTCAGGAGTAGCACTCTACAGGATGCTTCAAAGTTAACCGATCAAACTTCGTCAGTTCGAAGCATGAATAAATGCAAGGAAAAGATATTTTACGAACTTGCATTCGGAGGTGCTTGAATTTACTGGAAGGACGCTACCAAACGTGGAATCGATTTTACAATAAACGTATCTCCGCGTTGCCGTCCCAACATTTCGATTCGTTGTACTTTTTCCGTGATATAGACATAAACAGAATATCGTTTCATAGTCATAGACAGAATTATCGTGGAAGAGAGTCTTTCCAACGTGTGTTGAAAATACTTAAATACTCAATTACACTTAAATCGTTTACCAGAAAACAGTCGCTGAATAATTCCTAAAAATCACGATGCCACGTGATTGCAATCTGAAGCAACATTTTTCAGTTTAAATTCGACTGGAGCATATTCTTATTTAATTGACATGCTCCAAACAAAAAAGTTCCATGCACTCCAGTCGGACGACAATTACTTATCCGCAAGAAATTCTCAAATTTATTTTATTTTATTCATCGTTTCGACCTGTATCGTATTTGTGGACACTGACGCAGCCTCCAAAGGACAACGGTATCGTTTTCTCAAGCGAGTACCCCGTTTGTAGCCCGGGCGAAAGTTATCGGCACGCGGACGAGCATAATTTTGCAGTGAACGCGGCTTTTAATTCCATGGAAAAATCGGTTGCGCACGGGGCGGAAAGTTTACGGGGACGGGGCTACATGTTGCGGAGGCATTGAACTGCAAAGATTAAGTTCACGACCGGGGCGGTTATGCCAATATGAAAGCTTTCCGGGCCGCGCGGAAACAAAGTTGGGTTGTTTATGGTGTGCCTAAACTTCAGCCACCGTTAGGAATATAACTTATTCCCCGACGCCGGTCGTTTTATTTCCGAGAAAGCCCGAGATACCGGGCAGGCCGGAAGACGAAACTGAAATCTCGCGTGTTCGGTATCGTTTACCCCGTTGCTTCGGTAGTTCCGCGAAATGTTACGCGAATGGAACGGTCACTGAAAAATCTGCTGCACGGCTCGGCCTCTGTTAAGATCTTTGCGTGAGCGAGGAAGGTTATCCGCCGGAATTCTCCGGCATCTGTTCAACAAGTTCACGTGTCGGGCAGAGGTGTCTAACGCGAGACCAATTTTTCTATTCGAATCATAATTCTCGATTGAAAACTCTTTCGTTCAAAGTGGACACGCGTTTAACTCTTTCGGGGCGCGGTGGGATTAAAAATGTCCCATCTTTTCGATGCACGGTAATGCATGGTGGGACATTTTTAGTTCCACCCTGTAACAACAAATTGAATCGAATTATCATTATTTTTTATGTTTTCATATTATCCGATTCCTTTGTTAACACTTCCACGACCGCGCTAGAGACCTCAAAAATGTTCATAAAATTAAAATATTCCATTCTATTGAACAAAAATTACTGAACAAACTTATATGGCATCAATTACTTCTTCAGCATTCGTACCTCATGCAAATCTTAATCAAATTAAGCAATCAGTTTTAATTTTTTATTAATCATCCATTCGGTCGTCAATCGACTGAATTTAAAACGGGGAGATCTCCCCATTTGGTTGGCTAAGTGTTAATGAAAACATACCAAGTTCGTTTAAATTAAAATAAATTAAATAAATTTCTGTTAAAATCTCTACGATAAAATTTTTGTGCAACATGGGTCTATTTTATTTTCTGCAATTCTGTCCCCGAAAGGGTTAACACCTAGATTCACCGAGCATTAAAGCTATTGTTCTATATTAATTTATAAAAGTAATAATTAGACATTTAGTTCGATTTTATTTGAATTTTGTAAGCCTCGCAACAGTAACACATTCAACAGTTATCTTTAAATATAATCGAATCTGATAATGTTGAAATTATTTTGAGATTTTATTTATTTCTTATTATTTTAATTCTAAGACACATTTAATTGTATTGAAAATACTCTTTCATAGATTATAAATCCCGATTTAAATTAGCGTCGAACGAATCTCTCCGCCACGTAAAATAAAGTGTAACGTCTGTAATCGCGTTACAGGAAGCTACCTAATTCTTTTGATATAAATCTTTCAACTTCGGCGCGCTTACATCGCTTCCTGCAAACGCTCCTCAATTATTGCCAGCTGAACCGGATCCCTGTCCTATCGTACCTTGTTCCCTAAGTTCCCGAGAAAACAACCGGACAAGAATCGCTGCCGGCTATTCGCGTCCATTAAAAATTCATCAGCCGATCGCGGCGGTAATCCGTGATTTCTTCGGCGGCGCTGACAGCTCCGCTGGGGAAATCGGGCTTTCGTTTTTCGTCGGAGTCGTCGGATCGAGAAGGGATTTCTTCGGAAAATGAAAATCAACCGGGAAGCCAGCGCGGCGCGACTTACGCGGCCAGCTGAATTATTCAGAGTGCACTCACCGATCACGTTCAGGGTGTAGTTCAGCGACATCTTCGGCTCCGTGCTGACCTGACACTCGTAAACCCCGGAGTCGCGATTTTGGGGCGACTTGATCTGTAGGGTCCAGTTCTCGGACTTGTCCAGATGGATCACTTGGAACCTCAGATCCGAGGTGTACATGAGAATGCCCGCGCTCAGGATATGCATGTCCCTTTTACGCATCCAGGACACCTGCAAGATAAACAGAAGCGAGCCGCTTTAAGCCCGGCGATTTCTCTAAATCCATCTTGAGGGCTCGCTGCCGCAGCTGCAGTCGCGCGCTGCACGGTGCACCGAGGCCGCAGGGACAAAAGTCGCGAAAGTCACTGATTCATGGTCGTTCGAAACTATGTTCGCACTGTGTTGAAATGTCCGAGTCCTCTGAATAATCATGTTTACGTACGGAAATTTCAGAAAATCGAATAACAATTAGAAAAAGAAAAACAAATACCAAAACGATGCTTTACGAAACAAAAGAATTCACTATTGTATTTAGAAAATTCATCTAAATTACGGAAAAGCAACTTCTCAAATCGACTTCTTCGATATATTTTTTAATTCGAAGTAATTCGTGTATTTATTCGAAATGTTTTTATGCTTAAATATACAATTATATTTACAATAACGTTATACCGAGATGGATTTCGATATAAATAAAAAAACTCACTCTGTTTCATGTGTTTATTATTCATAAACAGGCCGGAAGCGATTGAATTTTCGCCCAAAAACAGGCGATCGGGCTGGGATTTAATTATCGTCTGACGCAGAATATACCGATGGGTTTCTTTGTGGTGGTTCCGATATCGCGTGGCGCAGTTGACGTAAATCCGATTGTAAAATTTGGACGTTTGTTCGTTGTTAATTTTGCAGAAATTCGGATTCAGAACGATGATTAAATCCGGTTGTTGCAAGTCGATGGGTCTCGGGGTCGCGCGATTCAAACTCCAGGTAACTCTGTTGAGAACAATTTCTTTGCCTCAAATCTGGGTTAATGTTTATTGATTTCAATCGGAATAGACGATAATGTTCGCAGCCAAGGAGACGCATTGCAGTTCAAATATTGTTTCCCTCGAATTGGAACATCTTACGAAGATTTATTTCACTGTTTTCACTCGTTTCGCCGAGTTCTTGCTGTCTCGGTTCTGTCTAAATGACAGAATTATTCGGACGATATGATTTCTGATGTCTCGCGATCCAATTTTTATGGTTGATCGTGTCGGAACGATCGCGTCTGTTAGTGCGACTGTATTGAAACTATTTGTTGAAGAGAAATTGTTACATAAACTTTGGACATGAATAAAAATATAAATATCATTGCATTTACAAATATTCTCATTTCTAAAAATCATTTTTTTTTCTGCGATCTAGTAAATTAATAATCAACAGTAGATGAATAAAAGAAATTAATGATTAACAGTATATTAATCATGAATAAGGAATTAATGATTAACAGTATATTAATCATGAATAAGGAATTAATGGTTAACAGTATATTAATCATGAATAAGGAATTAATGGTTAACAGTATATTAATCATGAATAAGGAATTAATGGTTAACAGTATATTAATCATGAATAAGGAATTAATGATTAACAGTATATTAATCATGAATAAGGAATTAATGGTTAACAGTATATTAATCATGAATAAGGAATTAATGATTAACAGTATATTAATCATGAATAAGGAATTAATGATTAACAGTATATTAATCATGAATAAGGAATTAATGGTTAACAGTATATTAATCATGAATAAGGAATTAATGGTTAACAGTATATTAATCATGAATAAGGAATTAATGATTAACAGTATATTAATCATGAATAAGGAATTAATGATGAACTGACAGTAGATCAATAATTTAAAAAAAAATAACTAACAGTAGATTAACAATGAACAAGAAATTAATAATTAACAGTGAATTGATTAATTATTAATTCCCTTGATTCTGTTTAATTTTGACTGTGAGTAACACTCGTATAAATTACAGTTCTACCTAGGACGTAGAACCAGTTCTACACGATGTAAGGAATAAGCCGCACATTTTTCTTAAAGTTGGACGAAAGACTTAACAGATTGCAACAGTTCCGGAGGAATACCGGCACCCTGAAACACAGATGACAAAACGCAAGCACCGAAAGCCGTCCTAAATCTCAGTCGGTCGGCGCGCATTTCTCGAAATCCTTTCTATAGCTTCTCATTGTTTCCGGCGCTAACCAGTCTGCAAACCGTTTAATGCCTGCACAAGGGCTCCCGGTATGGTTTTCGTGACCACGTCACAGCCACTGGTTCTAATTAATTTCCTCTCTTTCAGAGCCTTTAATTAGTAATCGCAAATGTCTGCTAAAGCATTTTCATTGACAAATTCTCTGCATAATTTATCGCGACTTTTCGCGTAGAAATTTTTTCTGCGATGTCATGTGAAATTTTATAAAAACGGCATCTTGAGTCAGATATTTGTGCTTCCATTAATGTAGTATGAGTAACAGAAAATTATTTTCATTGAGATGATATCAGGAACAATGGTAATTGCAATTTGAAACGATATTTATAAATGTGTCTTATTAGGAGAAATAGTGAATAATAGATTGACATGGGTGCTAGTAGAAGTAGTCAGCAATAGGCAGACATATTTGACAGTAGAAATAGTGAGTAATAGACAATATGTTTACTAGTAGAAGTAGTCNATTCTATTAGGATCTTTATAACATAAGTATGATGATTGATCGTAATTGATGCGATACGATTGAACTTTTCAATTTTAAAATTCGGTTAAATAAAACACTGTAATATAATATATGAATATATTATATATTATATATATTAAAAATTATATAATAAATATAGCTAATAAATAATAAATAATATATAATATAATTAATATAATATATATTAATATATTATATAAATAATATATAATATAAATAATAAATATATTATAATATAATAATAATCATATATATTTAACAGTAAATGTAATCTCTAATAATCAGACACATGTATCAGTAGAATTAATGAGCCACAGACATATGTTGTGTCAGTAGTAGTAATCAGTAATAAACAGACATATTTACTAGCAGTAGTAGCTAATAATAAAGACATAAATACTAGTAGAAATAGTCATCAATATCCAGGCAAATATCAGTAGAAATATCCAATAATAGACAGTCAAATCTACAAGTAGAATTAGAGGCTCACTATCAAACGTGTGTATTTACCACCAAAACTATAACATAACAAACGGACATGATTAATAATATTCCGATAAACGGCTTTCTGATAAACTATTTCTATTTTGTGCAAGTTAATTACGTAGATTTGGCGAAGTTTCGTTTTTTGGCTCTCCGTAATACTAACTAATTATCGTTTAGATGTCTGTATAGACGATTCTGTAAGCATCTTCGTACAATTTCCAATAGTTCCTGTCTGTCGCAGGCAACGTTTCCCGTAATAATTAATTCAGTAAATCGTTGTTACACGTCATGGAATTTTCTTGCGCAGAAAACTAGCCTGACCACAGACTTAGCTGGGGCCAGCGGGTTCGTTTCATAATTAATTTTCCGAATACACTTTCCCGGCCTGGTGTACAAGGGTACAATTAAAACCGTTTCAGACATTTACCTCGCGCGAAGTTTTTGTACAGTAATTACACAAGCTGCGAATTAACGCTCGTAATGAAAACGTTAGACTATTTACGCGACAAATTTTCTATGCGTTGGTAATCGCTTCGCGAGCTGCCCGGGATAATTTTCAAAAAGAGCCGAGCAATTAACTTAATTCGATAATTAACTCGCCATATTAAGCGATGGGAATTGTGCTCTTTAAGGATTCGCGGGATTACAAAATCGACCGAGTACGTTGCGACGAAGGAAACTCTTAGAACAAGCGACGAATAACAAGTTCCGTTTCAACTTGAACAATTATTGCACGGTGTTCTCAGAAATTCTGAAATCATTTGATCCGATGATCAATTAAATTTTTCGTCGGTTCGATGGGAATTCTGGGGATAGCCGGCCAAGGTATCTGGAACTAACAAGCAATACTCGATCACGAGCCAACAGGTTCCAATTAGTCAAATTAATCTGACTAAGTGATCATTTACGATCAGCACGTGTCATCGATAGGATCACGCAAGTGTTAGGCACTAATATCTTAACGGTAATCAATCTTACTAACATGCCAGGATTGCGAACTTACAATATTATAAAACTTCGCGACACGATAATAAACGATTCGCGTGTTCAACAATTACGTTCACGCTATATTGAACATTAACGTGTTAATCAATTACGTTGTCGCGTGGAAACTATGATTATAAACTAAAATTATCAATCGTGCGGAAACTGTATCGCACAATTATATCAAACGTAGTAATCATACAAATAATGTCTGCAAAATTTACTTTGTAATAAACAGAATCGCACATCTTTGCGCAATTAAGGTATATGCATGATTAAAAAATACGACTGAACGTGTATATTAATCGAGAATTAAAAGCAGGAATTAATCAAAGTAATCTATTATTTAGCACAGAGATATTTCTGTTTTAATTCTGATTT